TTTCATTGTTGTTTTCATTTCCAGTTCCCATTGGCGTATGATGCAGAGTATCTTTTCAAATGTTTATTTGCCATCTGTATGTCTTGTTTTGGTGAGATATCTGTTCAGATCTTTTGCTCTTTTTTAACTGAGTTGCTTGCTTCCTTATTGTTGAGTTTTAAGGGTTCTTTACGTGTTTTAGATACAAGTCTTTTATCAGTTGTGTACTCTATTTTCCCCCAATCTGTGATTGCCTGCCATACTATCTTATTCTTTCTCTTTCAGCCTGTCTGGGTCCCTATATTTAAGGCCTCATCTAAGCAGGATAGAGTTGGGTGTTGTTGCTTTTTTTTTAACCCTAACAATCATCATCTTTTATTTGGACTATATTGTCTATTTACTTACATTTTTTGCTTTCTACTCTCTGTCCTACATTCATTTTTTCTCATCCTCTTTTTTAAGGGCAAGAAGAAACTAGCTTGGTAATTAGGCATTTGATCCTTTCAGGTGTACCCTGGAGATGTTAGCACGTGTCCTTTCTTATCAAAGTCAGATGTTAGTGGCACTGCACTTTCACCTCAGACAATGAGGGGACTTTAGGACACTACATAACCCTTTTGTGTAGCTCCTGTGTGTCCCATTTGTCTTCATCAAATGGGATACATGGTGATGAATGGCAGAATAAGTATAGTCTCTTGCCGAAACCGGTTTGGCTCAGTGGATAGAGCATCGGCCTGCGGACTGAAAGGTCCCAGGTTCGATTCCGGTCAAGGGCATGTACCTGGGTTGAGGGCACATCCCCAGTAGGAGGTGTGCAGGAGGCAGCGGGTCGATGTTTCCAACTCTCTATCTCTCTCCCTTCCTCTCTGTAAAAAATCAATAAAATATATTTAAAAAAAAAAAAAGAATAAGTATAGTCTCTGTGCAAGGCGTCAGTGAGGACTGTGGTGCTGCAGTGGGTAAGTCAGAGGCCCGACTTTTGGAGGGACGTTCAGTGATGCTCCCCTACTCTTGGCATTACCCCTCCATGCACATTGTTCACTGGGACGTGTCAGCACCGACCAGAGGACTGGGTTTATATAGCCCCTGGAGCTATTCTTAGGTTGCAAAGCCTTTCAAGTGAGGTCACAGGTTCATGACATAATTGGCCTCTCAGCCTGGGTGGGTGACTAATCCTTGCACTACCTACTTGTGTAGTTTACTTTTACTTCCATTGTATTTTCTCCTCTCATTTGAGATTTGGAAAATAGTCAGGAAAAGTGGGTCCTTTCTTCAGTAACATTTTATGGTCATTCTACATTAATCCATGCAGTGTAGCTTTAGGCCAGGTGGCTTCTACGCTGTCATTTCATTGTCTGCTTCCACTTGAAGTAACATGGAGGCCGTAGTGTGTGAGTCGGTCATTGCTTTGTGCTTTCTTAAAATAATAAATGTGCTCTGATTACCCGTGGCCAAATATAGACAGAAAGTGACATGTATGGCTTTATATTCACATGTTCTTTATATTCATGTGTTCCATTAGTGTCCCCATTCCATTCCTCTAAATTTCTACTGTAACTTGATGAAGAATTATCTAGTTGAAGATATATTAATAGTCCAATGACTAATCTGTATTTCAGATGAAAACTATGTGTTTATACCAATACTCTTTTATTATTATTATTATAGGAGAGAGAGAGAGAGACTTCGATTTGTTGTTCCACTTATTTATGCATTCATTGCTTGATTCTTATATGTGCCCTGACTGGGGATCGAACCTGCAACCTTGGTGTATTGGGATGTCGCTCTAACCAACTGAGTACCTGGCCAAGGCCTATACCAATACTTTTTAAAAAATTTTTATGTAACTTTATTTTAAGTTCATACTTCCTGTTGTCTAAATATATACCTTTAGACAATATTGTCCCCAAAATGTTGGACATATTTGTTCAAAGTTCCTAAAATTTGCCATTATATGAATTTTAGGGAAAAATGAGTGGTAGACATTGACTTTTAATTATGTCAAGTTCATGATTTTAAAATAGCTATATTAACTTAAATTCCTTTAATATTGCCATTTAAGAACATAATATACTCCGACTTAGTCACATGACTGTACCTACTATGAGTCTCTTCCCAAAATGTTGACTCAAAACCTAAAAGGGAAAAAAAGTAAATGGTTGATTTGTTACACGCTGTGCTGTGATTTCTGGGATCAACACGTTAATTCCTTTTTGGGTGTGTGTGTTTAGTTCTGTTCCATTAGAATCTGGGCTGTGCTTTCTCAACTCCACCCTCTTTTTTCAAAAAATATTTTTCTTAAATGTAATTTATGAAAAAGTAGGTTACAGGGCTAAGAGTAAACAAACGTGTGTGATACCACGTTTCAGACATAAAGCAACACGTAGTACCTAAGAATAAACTTCTGTAGATTAAACATGAAGGCCGTTTTCATGTTCTGTTTCAAAATACACTGTTGGCAGCTTGCGTGGTCACAATAAAGATGTTTTCTGACCCTTTTTATGACCGAGCACTCCATGGCTGCTGCTGTGAGGCTGGCATTTAAATCCCACAAGCTGCAAGGGACAGGAATAACAAGGGTAGGGGCAGGTGTTTGGTTCCTGCCCACAGAGTGAATGGGCTTTTCACTAAACCTTTTGAGCCTTCCTTCCCCCTCCCCCACACCCTGCTGCCTGCTGGGAGGAACTGTGGGCAGGAGGCCAAGCGTGCTGAGGTGGGTGCGGGGAGCAAGGGGGGTGCAGGGAGCGGGGCCTCCGCCAGAGTGCAGTGCAGCAGTGCCCACACTGGCACAGACTTCTGTTTTGGCAGCTCGCTTCTCAGAGATCTACATTATATATAGAAATAAAGTTCCTGACAGTACGAACAAATGCGAATGCCTTGATTCTAGCTTAAATCACTGACTGATTTAAGCAAAGTTGTTTTTAGACTTTTTTATTTTTTTAAGTAGATCCGATTTGCCAAGAGTAGAGTGATTGATTTTCAAGTAGTGGAGGTGGGCTTTTGCTGTTGTTTTCTTTATCTGTCGCCAAGAGTTACTTATGTGTTTAACATAGATGTGAAAGTTACATGGGTTGTTGCACTATCTGAAATGACCAAATGATATAAAGTGACATGGATGTAATTATATTCTTGGTCATGTGAGGGCTTCCTTTGTGAAGAACTCTGTTCTGTGTTGAGCTCCACGAGAACTTAATTATGGGGTAAATGAGGGGTGTAGAGCGGGCACTTTGATTACTTGGCGTGGTGGACCCGTGGGTGCTGGGGATGAGTCTGCCCTCACTCTCCAGCAGGCTGTTCTGTTAGGGGCTCCTTAGGGACTACAGGCTTTGCACCTGTAACCTCATCAGGTCCTGTCTTACAGGAGGTCCTCCGCCCCCCCACCAACCTCCATGGTCGGACCACTGTCATTGTAAGCAGAGCTGTGCAGGCGGGCTTCCTGCT